TAGATATACGAGTGGGATGAAACAATACCGATCTGATAATGCGAGCAGATTCGCGTAATTCGCGCAGGAGCACGTGCACACGCTCACGAGTAATACACTGCGGCTTAATTTTTCTGTCTTCGACCGAGTTCGAGAGACGGGATTGATAAGAATTTATAACGGCTTGTAATAACGAGAACAGGGCTAAGTAATGAAGATAAGGATTAACTTGAAAATTACAAGATCCCACTTTATTAACATATAACAGTGAATGTCTTACCGTCGTCCTTTCGTTATGAAAGTAGTATAGCACAGGCTCAAATCTTTCACCAATCAATTGCCGATCGATGAATAATTGGAACCCATTTTTTTACGAGGCATTAAATTCATTAGGTAAATACACATGTGCCTATAAGACACTTGTAGTTGTTTTTACTACCTCACTGAAAGGGAGGGTAATTTTTCAGATAACATTGATTAATCGCAAATCAATTTTCTTATCAAAGTATTTTTAGTAATGATCATAATCACCAGTTCTCTCACAATCTCACGCAATCTAAATCAGTATGAACTAGAATAAACGGCAAATGTAAATGAAATAAAGTTTATCGATACTCAAAAAATCAAATTAACAAATAATGTTTTGACTTTCAATTTTAAATTGGGTTTTTTGAAATTATTGGGCGAAGGTAACTTATCTTCATATTTTCAGGTCCATTATCTCAAGTAAAAGTAATTTTCATATAGAATTAACAATATTCCATCATTTACAGCGCGTAGGATGGACAATTTATATTGCACTTTTTTTAGCACCGCTCGTTTATTATATCATTTTCTAATAAGATGCGCTGCATAATTTGTGCCTCTATACACTTTCACAGTTATTAATAAGCCAGTTAAAAGCTTGAGCGAAACATCAATGACTTCCTACACGCGTAAATTACATTGCCGTCAAATGTTCCAGTCGTTCGCTGCGCGCAATTCATAATGCAAAATTCTCTAATGAATTTCCGTTTTTCGTTAAAAGCGCGTTAAGCCAAGCAAGCAGCGTAGAATAACACGAGCTGTACGCACGAGCGCAGAAAAAAGCAGCTCGCGCCGCACAGCTGATCATCTATTGTTAAATTTTCAATCTATTAGCTGTAATAAGACCCCTTGTTTCTCTGTTTGTGCATTACGCCTCTGCAGATGAAAACAATTTTTCATGCAAATATAGTCGGGGAAATCATAAAATTACAACTGCAAACTTGTGCGCTCATATGTATTTTGCACCGATACATAGTTTATATTATTATGTACCGAGCCGCCGCCGCTTCACTCTCACTTTTCACTGAGCTCTCATGTGTGTGTGTGTGTATGTGTCTGCTACTGCTCTCGTAGATGGGAAAGTTGGCGTTAATTATAATGGACGTTAGGTAATCGTATTCCCGCGCGCGATGTGGCACGATGAAAATCGCGTCTAATGTGCAGCTTTAACACCCGCCTGCGCTCACGTATAGGCGTACAAAAACATACACACGCTCACATACGCGCCCGACTCGGCAAGTTGGAGTAATTTATTAAGAGAGTGCGCGAATGTGCTCGCCTTAATGTTATAATCGCGATTAGAAATGTGTAGCGAATTTTCAATGATTTTTCATGCACCTTTTTTTTCTTCCTTTACGCGCACGCACACAAACAAGAGTTTACGGCTAATTTAAAGAATTCCGACGTTTTTTCGCGCCTGCCGTTAAGCTGAAAAAAAAGGAAAAAACTCGCGTCCATATACATATACTTAGTTTCATAATTACGGTCATGCAGATAGATAATCATTTCGTATTAAATAATTTGAACTCGAGGTGTATTATAATAATATGAATGGCCTGATAATGAAGGAAAAGAGCGAGTAATTTGCACGCTTTACGAGAGAAAAGATGAAACACAGGCCTGGCAAACTATAGACTTTTATGGAATAGTACTGCTGCTGCTGCTGCTGTGCACCGAGCATGTTATAGTATATACCCGCGGAACAGCTTATACAGTGTTATATAGATAATAAATTTTAATTGCAATTTGCAATATGATTTTAAATTGTGCAATTTCCGAGAAATCAACTGCTGTTGCATTCTGTACGTGTAACGTAATATTTACGAGTAAATGTATCTCGTACAATCGAAAGGAATACTTGCAATTTCAGTATCGATAAAGCTATTGGTCCATAAAAAGGAAACAAACAAAAAAACGGTAACTCGCGGCAATATCGAAATTTTAGTTGGTATTTGTGTGTATAGGGCAGCTATACCCACGATATTTTGATGTACGCTACTGCGCTTCCGGAGCCATCAAAGCTCTTGCATGGCCAAAATACCGCATTCACATATACGGACACGATTTTATAATTTAACGCAGTGGCTACACTGTGGACTGCATACGTTTCTGTGCATGAAGGTATATATCGCGAGCGAGCGCAGAAATCGATAAGCAGACGTGGCGGATTAACACGTCTCGGGCGTTAAGTAGCGCGTATTGCTTTGCGCGGATTATATCCTAGCTCTCATTCTCTTCTTTCTGTATTGCCCTGAGCATAACACTCGCACAAGCATATACACAAACGCAGTCCCGTACACACGAATGTGTGTGTATGAATAAATGTTACTGCTATTATTCTCGCGCACGCATACAGAGAGCACGAGGCAAAAAGGCGCTCTTCGTCTGCCTGTGTGTGCACGTGTGTGTGTGTATATATATGTAATGTATGTCTAACGAAGTGCAGCTTGGCGGCGGGCGGCTATGGCTTCTTCGCACGCGGCGGCAATAAAATGCCAACGAAACCCGGGGGCGCCTGTAAAATGCTAATTCGCCCCGCGAAGTGCTCGCTCGCGCGTTCGCCTTTCGCAAAACGGATTTCTTCTTCTCTCCGATGTTTCCGTTCTTTTCTTTGCTTCTCATTCTCTTTCTCCGTTTGCGCGTTTTGGCCCCCGCCTGCCTGCTGTATAACGTGCACTTGTGTGCTCAGCGCCGCCCCGCCGCAGCAGCTCGCAGCAATCGTTGTCGTTATATCGTTTGGCCCGCGTGCACGAGTCGCCGTCCGGCCTCGTTCTTAACTTCTCCTTTCGCGGCTTTTTAAACGAAATTTCAAAGATGTTGCGAGGTGAAAAAAAAAACAACGACAACAACAAAAAGTATCGTCCGAGTCTTTTTTGCACCCGACGAGTCGTTCGCTTAATTACAGGCGTGAAATCGATTCATAAGCGTGGCGTATACATCCCCGGAGCTTCGATAATAACAAACGATCTCGCGGTTCGAATATATCCAAGCGCTGCTCGGGATCACCTGGAATCCATTCGGGGGCATCTGCAACCTGTCGTGGCGGTTCAACAACTCGGCGCGTTCCATTGTTACGACCGATCATCGACGCCTTCAACAAAAGATATTACATCGAAAAGTATAAATGCGATAATGAAGAGTAAAAAGAGGAACGCGAGTCGTATATGAGAGAGAGATTGATCGATATGCCCTTCGTGATTAATAATCGTTTGACTCGATGGAGCAATTATACCGTACAATAGCCTAGCATTTTTTAAATCACCCATAGAATATATAAACATGCTTAATGTTGCACTTTATTTCGCAAAATGATTGTTTAACAAAACGTAAAAAGTCCTTTCGTCGCACTATTTTTCTTCATTTCGCTCCCAATTCGCATCTTTAAAAGCCCACTCTCGTCGCTCGCATACAATACATAATTCCATTCATCTCGAGGCTTCGCGACGCGGGCTCGGCTTGGCCTGACGCGGTAGCGCAGAAAGGAGCTGCACAATTAAATTAAATGAAACACATTTCTCTCTTTCTCGACGCCTGCGCGAGTCCTTGTATATACGTACCGCTTTCAGTTTGTGTATAATATGTATGAAGTTGCATTAGCTTGAGAAAAGGCACTTTTATTCTTGTACTTCAATGACTCGACTGCTACGTAATTTTCACGATTATGCTTTATTAGAACCTGAAATTAACATTTACAGCGTAATCAGAGAAAGTATCTATATCTTGACCACGAATAAAAGTTGTCGCAAATGAGATTGAACGAATCAACATCTTTTAGAAGCTTGCAAATTTTTGTATTATATTTAAACATTAATATGAACAATTAGGCAGAGAAAGGCTTTTTTAGAACGCGCAATTACAAATGGTTCGCACCTCCTCGTGGCATTATATGCGCCTGCAAAGTCTCTTTGTGCAATGTGCGCGCGACCGCCGATATCAATCATCACACCGCTGCGCAGCTCAACTCGCGCCCTCTTATATCAAGTTATGTATTGTAAGTTGAGAATATGACTCTCCGATTGTGCAAAATTTTTTCGCCTTTTCGCATGGACATTAGCCGGGCAAATAGTATGCAAGTATACACGGTACACAGTCTCTGGGCCGAGAATTGTGCGGACCACGCAGGCTCTCAGCTTTTCGTAATTACCATCGTCATCATTGCTCGTGGTTCTGCGGGACGGCGCGCAAAATGCTTTGTTCTTTCACTGATGCATTATGTACAGAGTGTTTGTGTGTATGTGTGTATGCACGCGAAATTAATTGCAATTTTTAGTCTGCGATTTGTCACGCGTGCATGCTGAAATTTTTCGTAAAAGCCCCGTGATATGTGGCGCGTATTCAATCATATTGAGCTTTTATGCTCATTATGCCATTAATTTCAAAAGTTTTTTAACGTTAGAATAATAAAGATGTTTACCTAGTAGGTTTGAATAATTACGTAGCTGCTTTTCAAAATGGTAAATTATGGTGGGCACGGGGGTAATTACGGCGTGGCGAGGCAATTTATGATATAAACAAATCGATTTAATAAATCATTTACCTAGTACGAGAATCTAAATAATTATTTTATAATTCAGAATAAAAATAAACATGATTATTAGTTTTTGGAAGATTTTTTGGTAAACATGGATGGATAAATAAAAGTTCATCAATAAATTATAGCTTCTTAAAATAAATATATATTTTACAAAACTAATAACTATTTACAAATAAATGTCCTTGGAACAAATTAACATTATTCTGATGTTTTCATGTTGAATTGTTTTCTCGGCCCTTTGTTGTTATTATGTCCCATGGAATCTGCAACAGATTTAAAAAGCCTATTTAGTGTCAAAATATAGATTTAATATTTAAAATTTCTTAAATAAAACCAAATCACTCGACTGTATAGTATTAACTGAGAAGTTTTTAATTATTTCAGAAATTTCAGACCATTTACTAAGAAATTAAACCTTAAAAATGAGATTCGGATCGTTGTATTTATATTAAGATTAATTGAATTCCAAAATCAATTTTTTTTTAATGATTCAAATTCTATATAATGCACAAGGAAAATATTTATATTGTTTTTCATAAATAAATTAACATGTTTATTTTATTTCTTAAAAATTTGCACATTTTTTTCACAATAATTGTATCTTGTTTTTTTTTGTTTTATTGATTAGGATTTCATTCATAAAAAAAAGTTCATGAAAAAATGTCTCGTAAGTACATATTGTTTACTTGATATGTAGAAGTATCTTTAGGAAATTCAATACTTAAAGTTGTTTTTCTGATCATTCTCATAATTAAAAATTCATGATCAGTAACGAAAAAATAAATTTGATTGTCGATAAAATCAAAGAAAAGGCCCTAAGCTTTGATATACAAATGGAATAGGACGTAAAAGCTAATTAAAAATATTACATATGCGCAAGTTGGAATCGCCCTCGTATGAAAAGCTAAAATAGCTCGATTAACCGAACTCGAGGTAGCAGTTCACAGATGTACGATTCCATTTCAACGCTTGCCCCGCGTGTGCAGTACACATACGCACTGCAGTCGCAACGGAACAAAACAACGGCACCGGCGCTGCAGCAGCATACGTGCGTGGTCCCTGATAAGGCATCGGAATAACAAATAGGCTTTCGACCGAAATTACTCACCCCAACGATATAAAAGCGACATTATGCATTAGGCCTATTAGTGCAGCCATCAGTAAGTGACCTCAGAGTATACACAACGCACGCGATAATACTCGTATACGTGAATGTGTTCAGTGCGTATTTATAAGAGAGATCTCGAGCGAAGTGTTGGCACGAGCACCTGCGTGCACCACCTGACACTCGTATGCCGTGTATGCAACGCGCCTCCGTGTGATAAAGGAAGAAATAAAACGTGGAATTTCGAAAGACAAAAAGATTCGAGGATGACTTTTTTTTTTCTTCTCATCCGAGTTCTTGCGGTTCGTCATCGGCACGTATCGATACGTGTATCGACGATCGCCGATATAATGCCAAACGAAATTCGATACTTGACAGAAGCTTATTAAATGCCAGAGAGTCGATGCGATGCACATGCGGAGAGAGAGACAATCCACGCGATGCCTACCGAGAATGGCGGTATCACTTTTTATCGCGAGAAAGAGAGAGAGAGAGAGAGAGAAACAGAGAACGAAGCACGAATGATTTAGATTATACTGGTTTGCGCGATCATTATATCATGTTACTCGCTTAACTATACAGTTTGTAACTAAGAGTATTATTCGCCAATAGTTTCAACGGAGTAGAGAAAAAACTAGCGCGAACTCAAATCAAATCTTTGCAATGAACATTTGTCCTTATCGGTGACTTGTACGCGTAGATGTGAAAATTTTAAAAGCGCTGAAAAAATTGGTATACAGTGGGCGCATGATCTGATTATCACACGCATATCTACGTATATGTATACAATATTGTTACAATGGATGTGCTGTATGCACAAAAACGAGTCGGCAGCCACGAGCGTACACAAAATCCCAAATCGCATTATCACACTCGAACGTAACTCAATCCCTGCGCGCTCGCCTATGTACCATGCATGTTTATATGCATTTCACACCAAAGCTCAATACGCATAGTACCACTCGAACTACTATAAATAATATATCGGAGCGGTCATTATTTATAGTCGGTGCCTATTTACTCGCTCTCGAATATATAATTCCCCTCTCTCGTCGCTACGGGTTCTGGCCGTCGTAATCGCACAGCAACAGCTGCTCATCTCTCGTGCATCGAGTTAGCACAACTCCAATGCATAAGCGCGTCACTTCATATATGTATACCTATGTATCATGTTCAGGATACGAGTGAATTGCGCTCGAAATTACAAGGTATATATGGAGGGGAGCAGCGCTCGGAGCTGCGAGTAAGTGAAAAGAGAGGAGGTAATCGCGAGCTCGGCCTCTCGGATTCATTGGACCGTCACCAAGCCGCCATAGCCCGCCTTTCGTCCATTAAAAACTTGCCGACGAACTCTCAGAGTGCCTTGTACAGCACATTATGTATCCTATATTCTCCACGAAGCACCAAATATACACAAACGCCCCACCATGCACCTATTATTAATAACACCAACTATGAGCTCCAGTATCAAAATATATATCGTACCTAAGCTTCGATAACTCATTCGCTTTTCTTATTTTTACTTTTGTTTGTAAGCATTTACACTAGCAACTAAAGGGCTGATTTTCATTCTGTACTGCTGACAAAATTGACGAAAAAAATGTACATTTACATAAACGTTATAAAGTGGAAAACCATAGCACATTTTTACAATACTAACACGAACTTATTCGTCTGAAATTAACTTAGAAGGAAAAGAGACAGACAAGTGAGTGCATTGGCAAAGAGCTTTCTTCTAAAAATTTGATCATTCCCATTTTTATTTATAAAGTACCTAACATAAAAAACAGTACCCTTTTTAATAAGAAATATCATCACTATGAATACTACGTGAATAGATATTATGAATAGACATATCATTACTATAATCACTATGAATATATTGCAAAAATTACTTGAACCCTAAGAAAATACCGATAAAACCAAAGTATTTCTAAAATCTATTTAAAAAATTGAAAATAAATTTTTTTCGATAAAAATAAGTTTTTCAGGCTTCATTTTTATAACAATAAATAATAAATACAATTTATGACGATAGGATTAATTCAATATAATTTACAAATGTATTAAAAAAATTATCCTAAACCTGATTCGAAAGCTCGCTCTCGGGCATATCAAAGAGGTTCCTTCGAGAGGAAACAAAAAATTATCCTATCGTCACGAGCAATGATCCCGAAATATGTTTTAGAGGTTTATTATTTGCGAAACGCGTTGAGCTCACGCTTGCATAGTATACATTTATGCCGCATCTATAACGGCAGCTTCTCCGCCTCTGCGACCCACCATCGCCTCCTCCTCCTTTTCCTCCTACTTGCTCCTATATACTATGCTCCTCCTATAATTCATTGCTTATACACGAGATGCAGCAATGCCAAGATGCGCGCACACGATCGCGGATAACAATCACGAATGATGACAAAAAAAAATAATAGAATAATGAAAGCAAAATTGCCGCTATATCGAAGGTTCGCTGAGGTGAGTGCCAGACGAGGTGCCCACACGATAGCCTCATCGATGAACGCGCGATGGATCAAGTGAGCGTGTTGTGCGTATGATATATTTACTACGTGAAAAAGGCAAAAATTATGCCTTCTTATAATGATCAACGATAAAAATAGAAAATCAAATGAATTCATGTTTAAAATACGTAAGAAGTAATACGTTTCTAAAAATTTCAATTGCTTATTTAAACTTGGTATGCAGGTAATATAATAGGATCGCAAGCTTGGCAACAACACACACACACACACACACACACACACGTACGCGCTTACACGCGCTATCAATCAATCAGAGCCAAGCTCCATGAGACGACAAAGCTCTCGTATCAAGACAGAGGAGAGAAAGACGTGATTCCGGCGATGAGCAAGGATATATAAACAGAAGCAGCCCTCCGAGGCATGCTCGAAAAGCGTAACAAGCTTCGCTCCGTACCTAACATCCATCCTTCTAGGCTAACTATCTCCGTCGAGTACAGTAGTCTAATGTATACGCCAAGGATGTGTGTGTGTGTGAGTGTGCGCTACCTGCCTACTACGTTATATACGCATAGCATCAAAATTGCACTCACCGCGTGCTTTAAGCAATGCGGAGGCAGAAGCTATCCGTCACCATCATCGTATCTGCAGAGACGCGCTGCGCATTCTACCTACGAGTCCTCCGTAATACGAGGCGCGTTTCTATATCTACACGTACGAGTCACGAATCTCTGCGACTCCGCTTGCACGTGTGTGTGTGTGTGTCTGCACATACATAATGCCAGTTTATGCAGCATCACCTTACCATCATAATATGCTGCCACCAGCTCCGTCGCTGCTGCTGCTCGAGTCGTATTGTTCATATAATCGCATATATGCGCGCTGCACGCGACGACGATGATGCCTCCCATCCCATGTATACCTAAAGCATCCCGATGCCCATGTGTCTGTGCGTACAGGACTATTAAGCGACCGCACTGCGCTTCCGGCGCAGTACACACAAATACAGCCAACATCGTACGGGTGTAGTACGAGTGCACGCAGGGACACCTGCAGCACTTCAAAATCGCAGACTCGCCCGCCAAGTATATTCGACCTCTGTGCAAAACGCGCGTATGTCATTGCTACCATTTCTACTAAACCGAAACATGCCATTAACTTTTAATATCGATGCCCACCTTATATATGCTACACGTATGTATACAGGGTACCTCATCCTCCCCTTCTTCTCTCTCTCTCTTTTTGTTTCAGGCTTCGAGTTCGCTTCGACTAGAGTGCATCATCGTCATTATCGCGGACGATGCGACTCGTTGCCAATGCCCGGCAACTATGCCCCAAAAAAAAAGAATTAAAGCCGGACAATCATTCCAAGTTTCGTACAGGCAGTGAGTTTCTTTAATGCGTACACATTCGTGTCATACGTGCTGCGTACTACCAAAAAAGAGGGAGCTGGCATAATGTGCGGATACGCACGGCATAAATATCGGGGCGATACTCCGATGGCCTCGCAGCGGCCTGCGGTTAATTTGAATTTTTCCGTACCGATGAACCTCTGCCGCGCGTCTGTCTCTCTCTCTCTCGCCCGATGCGGCAGGGTTTTAATACCGAATACGCCTTTCATGTTCAAATGTATGATTGTGATTTGATGCTTCTCGTTCACGTATTATGCACGTGTGCGTGACCCTTTGCGTTCTTTTACGTTGTTCCCTTTTTTTATGATCAACTGGTCGTTTTAAATTCGTAAAAACGGGCGGCTATTAATTCGTTGCCAATGTTCGCCAAACTGTATACCCAAATTAGTCCAGTTGTTTCAAGGTGTCCTTACATAAAATTACGCATATGCAGCTCGAGTTTCGTTTAATTTTTAATTACTTATCCGCTCGTCAAACCAAATAATAAATCCCGGGAGGAATTATAAAGTTATTATTTATATATTTTGCTGCAATTTTTTAATGCGATCGTCACAGTAATTTCCAAAACTTACCTCGTCTTTTGTTGTTGCCGTTTCTGTTGTTAGGTTTTTGATGTCTCTTGCGCTGATCTGTCTTTTTCTTGTCTTGGTCTTTTTTGGCAGCGCCGCCGATATCTCTCGGCGTTTCCCTCAGGGCAAAACTCTTGGCGAAATGACCGAGGTGGAGCTCCTTGCGATTGAAGACGCTGCGCATCTCGACCGGATAACTCGAGTAGAATCTCACCCATGACGTGTAAGCTGCGAAAAATACAAAACAAAAGAAAAAATAAGTATAAAGAAAGGAAAAGAGTAAAAAAATAAAAACATTGTATATGTGCGATGCATCGTACGTATACGAGAGTTCATTATTTATCCGACGTGCACCCGTGCGCGCGCGCGTTACGTGCAACACACGGCGGCATCGGCATCAGCAGCAGTACAGGTGAAATGAAAAATGCTTTTTATTATGAGAAACACAAGAGGTCGAGAGTGTTAATGGACGTCTGCGGAGCATCGCTCACTGCTTCGTTAACGTTTCAATTAAAATTTTAATAGGATTCGAGAGGGCTTCGACTCGTCATTTTTTTTTCTTTTCCATAAGTACCAGCATCGCACTTCTCGCTCACTTGTCCGAGCTCCTCTTTCGCCGAGCCCTGGTAGCCTAATGCTATTTTAATGTACTCTTCAAAATCGTATAAATTTCGAGAGACTAGAAATTTATCATCGCACCTCGTGCACAAGTGTACACGTATTTCTCGCTGCAATAGGAATTAATTCTCTCTCCCTCTCTCGAGCTCGCTCGCGAACGCGTTAAAATGATTCTGCGATACATGAACTATATTACAGTAATTTTCTCACAGCCATGCATCATTACTTCGCTCGTGCTCAAGTGTTTACGTGTACGTACGTACACACATGCACAAGCCACTAAATCACCAAAATACGCGTGGAAGAGTAGGGCGGCTACGCAGAGAGCCAAGCGCAAAGCGCAACAAACTCGTCACCGCAATAACACGGCCGCGTGCATATATAAACGAGCCGAGAGCGGAACAACCCTCATACTTCATTCATCGTCACGTGTCGCGCTATAGAGCATAGACACGGGGCGCCACTACTTCACTCGATAGTCATCGATATATTACACGTATATAATACACACGATCGGGCAGGCGCGTGTAAATCCTGCATACAAGTTTGCTATCATCTACGCCATTAGTAGTTCATTCCACCCGCGTAGCAGCATCAACAGCAGCAGCAGCAGCAGCAAAGGAGACAAGTGCCTGAGAAAGTTTTTAAGCTCATTGTGCGAAGCTCGTGCATGCGTGCGCGCGACATGCTACTATATGCTGATGCTGCAAAGCCGGAAGAGGCATCTATACGTGCTATAACATAGTGGCCTTGCTGCGTCGTGCGAAAGTTGACTGGGTCTATGTAGTAGCGAGGCACATATAGACAGTAGAAAAAATTAAGGCGTTAAGTGATGCTTTAAGTTGGCTTTAGGTTCGATGTGCTTTTATACTAGTTTCCCTCGAAGAAATTACGGGAGCGTCGCTTTATTAACGGCCCTAGAACATGTAAGCACTAGTCATCGAGCTTATACATCGATGGAAAATTTCCTCGACTCAGTATAGCTTCATGAATGTTATAAAGCGTGAAAAGTAGTACATTACGTAGGCCCGTGCGCTAGGGTGCGCGTATATAGTAATGTTTTTGATGTAAACGAATCGGCTCGAGCACTCGACGAGTAGTGTATCGAGCTTGTGAAATATTTATATCATTTATACACGTGCGACATTCGTCAAACGAAGCGTTAGCCAACGACTTGAATTACACGAAGCTCGAGCTACGATATGTGCTCCGTTGTGTTCTCGGGAAACATATTTTTATATAATACGTAGGTAGTCAACGACGTCGAAGAGTTGCCTACACAATACCAGTCTTCAATAGTTGAAAAAGCGAGCGCGAAACAGAGCATGCATCGAGCTTGGAAAAGAGAGCGAGAGGAGCGAAGCAAAAGAGAGCCCCAAGAATGTACAAGTGTAATAAAAAAAGCTCCGGCAAAGTACATGTATAATTCTCAACAAGTTTGGAGCGCTTCTAGCAACAGCTACTTGCAGTATAGCTAAAGCTCCGTGCTCTCTAGCAACACACGCTTATATACATTGAGAGTGCGCATTTCCGCGCAGCGCGAGGAAGAAAAGCTCTCGATTCCGCGAAGGAAAATCGCACCAACGCGCCTCCGAAGTACAAGTTTTACTTTGCGTCCGCCTCCCGCTGCTGCTGCTGCTGCTGCTGCTGATTTACCCAGCTGTATAGCGAGCACGATTGTTTGAGATAGAAAAAAGTCGGTGAGCTTTTGAAATTGAGCGGATATACGAGGAGGAGAGACCGGGGGAGAGAAATATTTTTCTCCATTTAGCACATAAATTCTATCGTTGTTGTTGCTTACGCGTGTAGATAAAAATATAAGGAAAAGTTCTTTGCTCTCGCTCGCCGCACGCTATTGTTCCTAATGTAATATAAGTGCAGCTTTATTTCTTATATATCTCGCATTGTACCGAGAGTCTGTGCCGTGTATATGAAACATCCCTCCCGCGTACACACACACACATACTGTAATGCCGCGCAGCATCGCTACCCTATTATATGTGCCATATACGTGGCGCAAAGCACAAAGCCTTAAGTTACTGCGCCTTTGGCGGAAGTCGCATTAAGTGGTTAGATTGTGCGGCAATGCCTCGTGCTATTGCCTTTCGCGTATGTGCGCGCGAGGCTTTATATACCGCCGGCGCTAATAGAAAGACGACAGTGTCTTGGCAGAAGGTCTTTGTTCCTTTTTTCTCTCTCTCTCTTTCTCTCGTCGAGCTGCACAAAAGAAGGAAAAGGCGAGAGCGCATTATCATTAATAACCGACGCGCTTCGACGCGTCGCCTGAACTATATACGGCTCACCTTTATACTAGCGCTCTCGTTGATAAATACGGAAAAATCATCGGCGGCTATGTCGCTGGGCATCCCTCCTTTATTTCCGCGTTAAGCGGAAGATTAATACATGCGCGGGCGCGCGTAAATTCATTCGCCCCATTATATTGTATAGCCGAGCTTGACCGCAGCGCAATCGTTGTGTGCGAGGCACATCCTACCCCGTACACGAAGCAGATCTAAATCGACGAATCATCGGCGCGTTTTAATCATTCAGTCCAGTGAGCTATTCTCTTTCTCTCGCTCTCTGAACGACAAATTCAGACGAGCCAACACGATACTAAGAGACTATACCAGATAAAGACAGAGAGAGAATAATCAAAGCAGTGGAGCGATGTCGAGGGTTCTCTCTCTTTCTGCGCGCCACTTGGTGGCGCCAAAGCGGATGAATCTCGGGCGTTATATTATGGTCGCTATAGTACACACACAATCATCGTGCCCCCCGTCGACGCATAAAGATACAGAAAGAGAGAGAAAGAGAGAGAATAAGAGCGTGTATAGCAGCTAGTGAAAGAAAGAGTATAGTCGAGTCGTTCGACTCCATCGGGGTGATAATGTAGCGAATTAGCGAGATTTCTACTTCCTCGGCCCTTTTATGTTGTCCCCACCCTCTCACCGTAGCTACGTACATATATTCAGCGGAGCACAAGTTGTATACAAGTTTTTTTAGAGCATGAGCTTTTCGGAAATATAGTCGTCGTCGGGAGCGGGACAATTAAATGAATCGTCCAACGAGTTTGAGAGAGTCAGAGAGAAAGAATCCAGAGGGTGTATCACTGCGGATAACTGTTATTGTCTTGGCAGTCGATCACGTATACAAAAGCCGCACCAAAGTCCCATATAAAAGAGTTGCGAGATGGTCGCGCAGAATTGCAAATCTGCACGGGGCTTAATGAGACGCGCGAAGGGCAAACAGCCGCAGCTTTCGAAATCGATATACCCTACGAGTCGGGGAAAAAATTTAAACAAATCCAGCATTGATAAATTAATCATGACGATTTTTCACGCCGAGGGAAAACTCGTGCTCGGCGGCAATCTGCAATAAATACACATGTACAGGGCGCGCTCGCTCACACATGCATTTCTAGCACACGACAATCGATTCATCAATCACTCGAAGCTTTGCAACGAATCGCGCGCTAAAAGAGAAAAAGAAAGAGAGAGAAACGTGGTCAAGTGGCTAGCTGTGTAGCGTCAGTCAAAAATCCTACAAGCGCAAAGTTTGCGGTGTCGATCAGCTCTATTCACACACATGCGCACGTACGTACGTGTATGGGCGTAAGCTAGCCCTCTCTTTTTCTCTCTCTTTCGCTCTCGGGCGATCGAAACAAGCACGATATAAGCCACACAGCGAGCGAACGAGGCAAGCGAAGAGCGAAACAACGATTCTAAGCCGCAGAAAACCTTTTAGAAAGATTTATGGCACGTCGGCGCTGCGCTCGTGTGTGACTGTATTTTATACGTGTGTGTGAGCTGCCAAGCTCCAACTCCCCTTTTTGGTTCCTCGCTGCCGCTGCCGCTGCAAGGCAAATAAACACTGAGAGCTGCACGCCGCGGCGCTGCGGTGGCGGGATACTTTAAATGATACACTCTGATTGATTTCGCTCGGCTATATATACACGTATGATGTATAACGATCGTGCTCGCGCTTCCATCCTATCTCATATGCGCAAGCACCAAAGACTGCAACGCGCCGCTAATAAGAAAAACGAATATAGTCCCGAGTATACGAGCGAGTCATAATCGCTAAATAATTGATAAGAATTTGCGAAGGCGCAAACTTTTTTCGAGCCACATGAATATTTGAGTGGCCGCTCGCCCGTGTGCGTATGTATAATATCTGCACTTGTACCGTTGTAAACTTTATATGCCGCGCGCTATTGATTCTGCTGCTGCCGCTGCCGCTCGTTTTATTTTAAACAGAGAACGAGAGAGAAAGACTCCGTGCGCGACTCGTGAAGGATAATACACACAGACAGTCGATCCCCCCGCCCGAGCTAAAACTTCCCCAAATCGGAGTGCGAATCTCTCTGCACTGGCAGCATGTACAGTAGCTCTTTTTATACACACGCACACCCAATATACATACATCTCGTATAACACGAGGGCGGCGCATCTTTAAGCTAACCCCTCCTCTGCGCGTGTGTGTGTGTGTGTACACACAGGATAAAACACATCCCCGTGATGTAGAGTACAGTAGTAGCATCGTAATGGATTTATTATTGCGCGAAATAAATTCTCTTTTCTCTGGCCGCACCCGCGCCCAAGCAGCGCCAGTGACTAGCGGGCACAACTAGTATATAGCTCGTCGCCTGTATGAGCACGTAATAACCCTAATAGAGCCTGTATACGCGAATACGTTGTGTGAGTGCGTCGGTTCGTGTGTATAGAGAACAAATAACATCATCCCCCGCTAGTCTATAGACTATGTAAATATCGAAGGGTAAAGTAGTTGCTGAACCGAGCTGCTCTGCACACCGTACACACTGCGGTGTAGCATCGGTGACGATGCTCAGCTTGTCGTCGTCGTCGTCACCCCCTACACATCATAGCATAATTCGAGGCTTGACTTTCTCTCTTCTTGTATACACACGCACATAATACACACAGAAACGCGAGTGAGTGGCTGGGTGATAGCTACTATTGGCATTATATACATAAATTATTATCAAAGTATCTGGGATATTGGCTTAATTTTTGCACGCAGCCGTGACTCTCATGCGTAGGAAGACGAGGAGCTTCGCCTCTATACGCATGGAGAGCTCGGCTCGTTCCTTCGCAATTATATGTATTGCACGGAGAGACAGACGCCTAACTCGCTTTATTATTCTCTGCTCCTTTGATTGATTCTAATTCGAAATAAATTGCAGGCCGACACAATTGGCTTTCGTCACTGTTCGTTAACTCGTTATAAAACGACGGCAGTGACTGCATATTATACAGGGACGCGACGTAGACAGCAACGTCGCTGAACGATGCGTGTTCGTTCTATGTGTAATATTGCATATCTAGCTTACGACGACGGCTTGATAGTTTGCGAGCATCCACGAGATACCATATCTACGACGATTCAATTTCTTCCTTTTTCGCTTAAGGGAAACATTCGCACCAATCTGTCAATATAACGATATAATTTTAAGCCGCAGAACTCACCGTTGAACGCCATAGTTTTGAATTCCTTATTCTCCAGTACCAAACTCTCGAACTTATTCTGCAGGTTGGTCGCGCCGGCCTTCCAGTCGTTTTGCTGCGTGAAGCGGCCAATGAGCTCCTTCAGGATCACTTCCACGTCCACGTCCTGCTTGATCCGTATGCGACGGCTCTCCAGGGACCGGACGAACTCCACCTCCGACGGCACGAGGAAGATCACGGCCGAGCCCAAGGCGCCGGCACGTCCCGCGCGTCCAGCTCGGTGCACGTAGTCGCTCAGCGACGTCGGACCCGTGTACTGGACGACGGTGTTGACTTCCCAATTGAGGCCGCGAGCTCCGACATCCTGAAAAGTGGAAATATTCACAATTAGTCATATGCGAGCGATTGTTTGACAATGATGCACTCGAGTTACGGTTTTTTCTTTTACGACCGTTACGTTTTGTTGACGATGTGGAATGCGAAATTATCAAGTACTGTTTACAGTACTTTAAATGGTTTTTTTATCGTGAAAGTATGCGCATTACACTGCATTAAGCAGCAGTCAAATATTATTGAGAGTTCAGCAACTTTGAAGTCATTATACTTTATCAAAAAATAAACATTACCGATTTTCAATTAATATTCCACTGACTGATTAATACTGTTTGTAACGTACAAAGTAAAATGAGTATGCGAAAAATATGGAATATCCAAAGCGATGATAAATCAAAAAGCCATTTTTCTGAAGCTAAATATTGTCATTGTATCGAAAGAATTTGTAACAATCATATATTTGGTAAAAAAAAGCATTAAAAATCAAGGCAACGCACGTTACTCTTTAATTTTTTTTCTAATTGAATAATTTGCAGCTGTGCATTGTATTTATTCAAATCTTGCGTCGGTTAAGTATAACTCGCAGAGTTCAAAAATTTAATAAGATAATCCAGTTTCGAAAATGTCGAAAAAGGAAGGAAAAAAGAAATCGTAGAAGTTAAAAAGAAGTCCAGGGTTGCTTAACAAATGTCTTACAAAAGGCTGTTTTACGGTGCAGCAAAGTCTGGCGGCGAAATTATAGCAGTGGCGCGTCCCCGCTGCGAAAACGAATCGCTCGCTTATAATATTTTTGTGGCCGCTCGAGCTCGTCGCTCGCCCGGCGAGACTTGTAATGTGCACGGTCGAGGTTGGACCCGCGCGGGTCCATCGTACGAGGCTGCACTTGGCTCTATGGGAGGGTCGTCTCCGAAATTCCTCCTAGCGCATGGTTTACTTCTATTTTCAAACCAATACGTAAACGCGTATATTTGTCGAAAGACCCGATAAAACCTTGAAATTCGCAGACTGCGTGCATACGATAAAAGAGAGAGAGATCGATATAACGAGTACATAAATATAAATTGCGTTATTAGGTACTCTCACTCGCGTGATCGCGATTCGCGTGCACTACGCGTATAGAAGCTCGCACACGCGCACAGAAAGATTGATTTTGCATGAACAATCGCGAGCAGCAACGCCGCCAAGTATATAAAGCGCATCGGTGCACGTAACTAGCTATGATTGTGTCATTTGACATTTACTCGTTATACTGCCACGAGAAAAGAGATGGAGAGAATAATCAAGGGTCTATTTCGTAATCGCGATGAAACGCATGTATGAACTCGTGTCGTATCGTCGCTGAAATTAATAAGTCAATCGGGGCAATTAATAGCTTTCGGATATGGAGCCAATTTGCAGTTGTGGAGTCGCGAGGAGTAAGAAGAAACGACGACGAAGAAGAAGAAGAAAAAGCCGAAGCCGGTCTTGCGTGAGTATTAAACATCGGAATTACGGTGTAGCTGCCACTGGATACATATAAGCTCGTCCGAGGCGCATACATAATATCCTTTGCTCGGCTCCAAAGTGGATCGTTTACTACCACGTGCATATAATAAGAACAAGTGCAGCCAGCGCGTATGCACACCGCTGAGCCGCCGAGATATGGAATATTATTATAAAGCGATCGGTGAAAAATGGCCACTCAGAACATCTCACTCGTGCCATAGATCAGGCTCTCGGCCGTTTAAAGTGCATATATATAAAATCCTGCGGCGCGCGAGTCTCTGCGCTACGGGTATCCTTGTTGTTGGCGGCGGTACCGCGCGGGCGGTGTCTTTTCGACCAGCCTCTTTGTTATTTTTCGAGTAGTTGCTTGCGCCCTGTGTTTACCACGGGATGATTAGTTTCCATATTCGTTTGCTTGTTTTGTTTCATTTATTTACTGTTTTTTTTACGGAGCATATGTTTAATAGTTACGTGCAAAGATCGCAAGGACCGCATTCCGAGCCGAGCGCTCTTTACGCACCGATCGAATACATATTTTATCGGCTACGCAGTAGAATAAGGATGAGAAAAAAAATTAAACAACTGCACAGAATTAGAAAAGCATAAAAAATTGATTAAATTTCTAATGACGCATCCGAGGAATTTACCTGTACTAATACAACGAGAAACGCGTGATGATCGACCGCAAGAAAAATCGGAGCTATATACCCATATCGCTTATTCATTCGCGCATATCTTTATAGTCGAAGATCTTTTGTTTTCGCCGGTCATTCGGATCTCGAATGCTAACGCACACGCACATATGCACGGATTGTAATAATAATAAGAATAAGAAGCAAGTATGCGCGCGAGCATTCAAGACAGAAGCTTGTAAAAGTACGAGGTACACATGCTGCATGATGGGCTCGTGTGGCAGTCTCACACGCGGACGAGTTTTGCCAAACCGCAATCACGTTCGAAGATGATCGAATGCGCGTTACGTTATGAACTGCCGCTGCTGCTACTTGGTAGTCTTGGTACCTATATAACTCGAAGCTCTCGACTCTTCATGCCTGCCTGACGCTCCCACGTTTCTCGCCGACGCACAAATTGCCACCGCCGCGTTCGTTTTTCTATCTGCATATCATATATATGCTATATAAATACATATAATGCCTTGGTGAGAAGGCTCTTCATGCGAAAATATGCCTATAACCCATTGCTGCCTCTCGAGCCAATGGAAAATGTCAAAATTAGAGAAAACAAGTGTGCCACTCACATTACGCGATGCCATAAGTTCTACATATAGTGCCGCTGTATACATGCATGAATAATAGTACCTACGGACTGCGCGTGAGAAGTAGAGATTTTTTTCCTCGAAAAATTTACGTACGTAAGTTGGTGTATGTTTAGAGAAAGTTCGATGCATGCGAATGAAAAAAAGAGTAAATTATCGAAAATGAGTTTCCCTCGCGGCTGTTTTCATTTGTGATTTGACTTGATTGTTTGCGCGTATACATGCACTGCAGAGAGTCTTACGAAACTGATTAGCTATTTATCTTGGATATATAATAGAGACTGCTCGGCAAAAGTCGGTCATTGTACATCTGTTGGACACGCGACAATCTGGAAATGATTGTTATTTTTTCCTTCGTCCCATTGCGAACTCAGTCGCGATGATCGTGCATACTTATATTGTGCAGACAGGCAATATGAAAAGATCATATTTCTCGTGGTATGACTGCTTGTCTTTATCGAAACAAACATAATGAGATTAAGTGTACACATATGTACATGCTACCTCGTCATTGACGTGATATATACCTAGTCTTTCTCTATCTCCGTCGCACTCGAACATTATTAGTTGGAATGATAGACGAGAAAAGCTGTTTAAAAATTAACGCGGCATGCGCCGTCACAGATACTGCAGCAGCAGCAGCAGAGATGCAGAGTAATTGCGCGCGATTACGTAGAAACTCCTTAAATTGCATCGCCAGAGATTAATTGAATCGACGCGATCCGAGAAAGAAAGCTAATTTGAAGCTCGATTCAATCGTTGCCTATACGTTGCAGCTCTCGGGTAATGCTTCTTTGCGCTGCTCATTCATCTGCGAAAGAGCACGAGTTATTATTATCGTTATCTCGAGGGCACTCAAGAGACGGGCTCGTTTTTTCAACAATATTTAATAAACTTGTGACTGAGACGAGCAAATCGCAATTATCACTACTAGAAGTAAACAAACAAACAAAGAGTTCGAGAGTTGGCAAACATTTTGACGAACTGCCAGATCGTTCGTAAGTGCACGCGCCCGCGCCCGCGCTTGCCGAGTCGAACAATTTTCCCAAAGAGGAACGCGTGTCTGCTCGACTGTATGTACATGCGTGCGTATGCAAAGTATACACAATTCGAGTCGTTATATTTGCACGGGACGGGGCAAAAAATGAAAAAGACGAGTAATAATGAGCTCGTTAAACAATGTAGGTGCATTAAGCTCCTATGCAGCACATGTCATTGGGAGCGCGCGACAGAAGAGGGAGGCAGCGGAGAATATGCGATTTTACAGTCCGATTCGAATACAACCCGCGAGCACAAGTGCACCGAGTACGCACATACGCGTACCTGTGCGAAATGTTTACTAATATCCATGGCCTGTTACTCTAATTACAGCTCTATAATACCAACTGCTGTATCCTACGTGTTGGCTTTTTTTTTGGCGAGAAGCTCGTATTTAATTTCGTTTTTAAGGCACAGAGAAAGAGAGAGAGAAAGACAGGAAAAGAGGATGTGCGCGCTGGTTAATTTACAGCTCCGGTTGCGCGCTTTTGTCTTTCTTCGCTCGCTCGTAATAAGCCCGCCACTCGTGTATATATGTAGGTAGAAAGAGAGAGAGATACTCCCTTTTTTGATTGTGAATGCGCCTCGAAAGAGAGAGATACACGCGGTACCGCAGTCAAAAAGGCCCTTTGTGTTTTTTGAGTTTTTTTGAGTTTAAGAGGTCATTTTGCAGTGTCGTTGCTATTGTTCCAGCGAGGATTTTAAGAGTTGTATTTTCGTGCAAGAAATTATAATAGCAATGGAATTTAACGAGAGCAATGAGAGAAAGAGAGAGGGGACAAAAAATTGGCCACCTTCGAGTCTCACAGAGAATTACAGTTGTGTAAAAACCTCTTTACAATGAAATTTTTTGCTCCAATTTGTCACACGAATAGCTTGCGACGAATAATTGTTTACGAAAAAAGAAAAAAAAAAAGAAGAAAAAATTCAATATTTGCGCACTTACGCAAAACAAACGCGCAAAATTTATCATTAGACACATAAACAGACGTTATTCAATAACTGATAAGAACCATAAAAACTTACCGTACTGAGAAGTACGCCACTTTCAGCTGCGCAAAAATCTTTAAATGTTTTGTCTCGGTCTTTTTGGGCCATGTCTCCGTGTAATTTGAAAAATTGCACGTTATCCAGAGTATTCAAACCTACTCCGTATTCCTCGTTGTCAGGTTCGCACAGAACTGTAGACAAAATTTCTGTATAGAACTCAACCATACCCCGCGTTGCCATGAATACCAACATCTTGTGACTTTTCTGTGACTGTAAAAATCCCAAATAAATATATTCATTGCTTGTTGTCAAAATAAATGGAGAAGTAAAAAACTAAATGAGTTTTTACCTGAAATTTGCTAGCAATAAAAGCGCTCAACGCTACCAATCTCAGCTTAGGAGGAGTTACAATATAACTCTGAGTTACAGTTTGTGGTACTACCCAGTCTTCATTCACTTCACTCATATCACCGTTTACTGCTTCTATGTTATCTTTAGCAGCATCAACAAATGTTGGATTTTTCATAGTTAACCCAGCAAGCTTGTCCACTTTTTGGGTTAATGTTGCAGATAAAAGAATTGTTTGTCTCCGGAATAAATTATCATTGGAGGGTGATACATCTGTTTCTTCAGATTTTTTATCATCAGTAACTGATTTCTTCTGAAGTTTGTCGCTTTCATCGTCTGATTCATCTTCACTGCCAGAGTGATATCGTTTTATAGCCTCTTCTATCTGCTTCTTTTTTTCAGAATCTTCGTCTTCATCTTCGTCTTCAACTTCACGTTTGTCTTCATTCTTTTTTCCGACAATGTCTTTGTCAACATCCTCTTTTTGTTCATCTGGATTGATATGCTGCTTGAGCAATTGCATAGGATTGTAATCAGAATTGTTGGATTCTGGTTCTGCCCCTTTGAGAGCTTCTACAATTCTGTAACATAAATTCATCATTCTCATTACCCAAATTCACTTTTAAATAAGTGTACAAAATTATTCACTTACGCTGATATATCTTTTTCATAACCCATATCAAACATTCTGTCAGCTTCATCTAACACTAATGTTTGAACAGAATCCAACGTTAAAGCTTTTGTGGATTTGATGTGATCTAATAACCTTCCAGGAGTAGCTACTAATACATTAATGCCTTTTCTTAGTTTATCTTTTTCTTTATGATTATTAGTTCCTCCAGCTACAATACCAGGAACTATCCAAACAAATGCCTAAAAATAAATAAATTAATTTAAAAGTATGTTTATGTAGTGAATGTAAATAAAATTTCTTCACCTACCTTGACTAATTTTAAAAAGCAATTGTATGTTTGCTGCGCTAATTCTCTTGTTGGTACGATTACTAATGCTTTAATACCGCACTTTCTGTGTAGCTTTGGTCTAACACTCTGTAATTTTTCAATAATGGGTAGGGCATAAGCAAGAGTTTTACCAGAACCTGTCTGAGATCTGATCAAAACATCTTTGCCAGACATAATTACTGGTATTGCTTTTTTCTGTACAGTCGTCATCTTAGTAATCTTAAAATTTTGTTCTAAATTTGCTACTGCATGAGGGTGAATATTAAGATCACTGAATTTTTCAGCAGTAAAAACTTTTTCATCAATAGGTCTTACAAAACGTTGACCTATGTGTGGAACAATAGGGTTATTTCCAAACAGAGAAGATATTTTACCACTTTTTGAATGAAGTTTTGAATTCTGGTCACTTGCATGTACGTCACTTCTTGTTTTGTCATTAAATTTTTCAAAAGGTCTTTTAGCACTATCTGTGCCAAATTTCCTTTTCTTATTAAGAGGAGCACCATCTGATTCTTGATTAACATTTAACATAAGACCAGTTTTGTTTTCTGGTGTCGAAAACTTTCTTTTAAGATCAGCTTGAACTTTATCGCCTGTATCCATTTTTTGAGAGCTTTCTTGTTTCTGTTGGGAATTTTGAGAAATACTCGTTGTTACTTGTTGTTTGGCAGATGATTCTTGCACTTTAGACACTATGGGTTTGGAGTTTGCAGTAACATGTGCATCAGGCTGCTGAGTACTTGATGTAGTGTTGACAGCTAGAATATAAGCACCAATTGATTTAAAACAATTTCGGGATTATAAAATATTATAACATATTTACAATATTTATCTTCACTGTGCCCCTCAATAATAATCAAAAAGTGACAAGTGGACATTACCAGCATTTTGAAAATAACAAACACATACTTTTTATACACCTATTATTACATAATAATGTTGTTGAATTATAAAATGTACTACGAAAAGAATCACTTACCATCGGAAATTTTTCTCTTTCTATTGACAATTGCCTTAATAGAATTGTTAGGAACAAATGCGTCTTCGGCGTCATTTCTCTGCCGAGAAAATTTTTTGCTTTTTGCCACTGCTGATTTTTTAAAATATGCAGCTGGCTTTACTTTCTTTTTTCTCTCTCCACTCACGACATTTAAACAAATATCCATTTTTAACGTGTTATGTATAAAAAATCCAAAGAACCTGTCAAAACTATACAAAAATACAGTGCACTTGTGTATAGATTAACCTAAAAAGCACGTGTTTACAATGTAGCAACTAGCAGCCGCCGCAGTAGGCTGAAGTTTCGATAGGCAGCAGGCAGCACCACGCGGTGGGCCGGTGGGCGGCGGGAGCGACGAAAGCGCCATCGAGTCACAAGCTCTGTTATTCCATCTTCTGCTATACATTCGGTTTATTTAATTAAGAACACATGCGTCGCCTGCTGCCGCTGAAAATTATCTCGTCTCGATTCTCGTTCATTCGTAAAAGCAAAACTTTTGCTTCGGTACACATTGCTCCGTACGTGTATGTACAGGTATATATGTTGTATTGGCACGAGCCTATTAATAATCTTATAAAGTCGGGCGCTTATCACGATAACGAGTCATTGAAAATCAAACGCTCGTCGCGACAATACAGGTGCAATGTAAAATTGGAGAATTCGCCTTGTGACATTAAAAAAAAAGCAACGCCGTGCATAAATTGATCGTCAGAGTTGATAGTCGCTGCAGCGTTTCTGTGATCTTTCGCATAAATAATAATACCGCATCGCCGCCTCATACCGTACCTAGAATGCCAAGTGGACCCGTCGCAACGCTCGGAACCACGTCTGGGCTGCTAGGCCAACAAATACGCCTCTTGCATCTCGAAGCGATAGATTTTTGTAAGACTAAAGTGATCATTTAGTGCTGTGGTCTACATCAAAACACGCAGGCAGGCGTGAGAGTGAAAGTTTTTTTTTTTGGAAAAAATTCAAGTGAATCGGCGGAACGCAGTCTGCAGCGTCGAGTTTCCCATGGTTTGGCGAGCAATATAAACAGAGAAGAACAAACATAGATATTTCCAACGGCTGTTTGCCTCGTTTTCGAGTATATATACAAGTTGCTCAAAGGACCGGATCATCGTCAGTATTCTGTTGCGGTCAGCGTTGAATCGGTGTTAGAGAGATCTCGGTGTGCCACGAACGCGGGACGCGTTAAATTCTCCGCAGTTTTTCCGCGAGAAAAAGGTGAAAAATTCTCAACCTTCCTTGGCAAAATGTCCGCGTTCTGCTGTGTAGATCGGGCATTGGCGGTCAAGCTGATCGGTACCTTTGGACTGGTGAGTACTTGGATTTGTACGACCCAAGTGGTGCGCACGTAACATGCATAATAAATAAGATTTTAAATGGAAACTTTTGATTATACATAAAGGTGCAAATCTATATTTGCATGTATATGTACGTAACACTTGTGGTGTCAGTCGACGCGCCTCGTTTATTTTCGTTGATAAATTTACAAATGTCATGCGATATTATATTTTCGAGACTCGCTGCGTCTCGCGGTTATCTTCCTCTCTCGTTCTCCAACTATGTAGGTATTGTTCTGTAAATTAGCGATAAGCGGCGCGCGAAATTTTTCATTGTTGATTCTCGCACTCGCGCGACGAAAGAAAAGAGAGATATCTGCGCGCGATTTAATTTTAATCATAATTAAAGATTGATATATGAGTTTATGTGCAATCACGAACTCGATTATAGTTTAGTTGCTCAATCGTAGGAACGATTTCAAATGATTACATGTTTTTATCTTTCGTTCGTTTCTATGGCAGTCCTTGTCGATCTTGATGATCAACATGCTGGTAAGCAACTTCTTCGCCCGGCCGGAAGAGGAGGACTTCATCCTTGCCATCGAGTCTTGGGTTTTGTTCGGCTTAAACTGGACCTTCGTAATGCGTAACCTGCAAGTGGTAGAAACTGGTGGGTTTGACTGTTTTTTATATGAGACTCGAAGTGCGTGCACGAATGAGCTTGATGAAAAAAATGTATTTTGTTTTTCAGCCCAAGCTTTGATGACGTGCGTGATCATCTACACGCTGATTTCGTTGTTTGCCAATGCGCTCTTAGCTTTGGGAGCTTTATTGGTAAGTTTCCATGCACATTTTCTATACGCCATCAATTTGAAATAAAATTCGCTCATGCGTGTGTATCGCCTGGGTCGTACTTATTGTATATTGACGAATTTATTACTCATACACGATTAAAAAAATCGTAATGTGTTGTAACAAACCTCTAAATTCAAAAAGTATAATTAAAACACCAATTCATAGATAATTAATTTATCAGACAATACCGCTTATGTGGGCAAATTTCCAGAATGTGGTCGCTTTAGATAATTTTGAAACTAAATTTTTAATTTGACGCGCAGCTCTGCAAATCTCTATATTTTTTGAATTATATTAAAAGAGATGAAAAAGCCTAGCTCGATTGAATTTCAACAAATGCTCAATAAGCAATACAGATCATTATAATTAATCCGTATTTATCCGTGATTAAATAAAATTTCAATAATTGACCGCTAATTCGATCGATCGCAACCAAATTAAAACTTTCAATACAAGTTACACTTTAAGATTATGTATGTATTTTCAATCGAGTGTGCAACATCGGGGTATCTCAAGGCGATCGCGTTTTGGAAATGTACTCATATTTCCCTGAATAATTAACGAATCGATCTTGTGCGCTAGTTAATTTTGCAAATATCAATTTCGACATGATACGAGACTAAAGATGATTTTTACTCTGCAGCGTAAACCATCCTACACTTTGCCATACATGTACATACAAATGATCAGCATCGCGGACCAGACTTTCGCTTTGATGATACAATTGGCTAAGAGCGGGGATAGTCAAAACTACGATAAATCGGGCTGGTATATTCCCGCCTGCAGCGCCTATCTTTGTAAGTCTATTTGGAAAATCACAAAAATATCCAATAGATGAATAAAAATTTATAAAAAATTGTTTTCTCTTTTTTTCCAGTACTTAGCGCCTACTTCTGGATGATCGTATCGGACGCGCGCCGCGAGTGGCTTGACAACGAAAGAACAAGCGAGATCGAAGCTGCATTGGCCGGAGTGAGCAGGCACTCTCAGCTCCAAGGCAATGCTATGGACTCAAATCTACCCAAGACTCCGTCCTACATCTCCACGGGCTTGTTCAGTTTCGACCGTAGCCCTTGCCCACCGTCGAGGCAAATTTTCACAATGGTTTGAAAAGGCCTGATCCATTAAATGAGCCATGTGTGCTATGTGATAATTTCTATTCGATAATTTAAAAAAATGTAAATATAGTTATGTAAGATGTATGAATGATTGTCTCAAAGTTTGTATGTATGCGTAAACAAGGATTGCTTTTCAATTGGCCATGCAATGAGCGATAAGCATTTAACATAGTTTATGTATAAAATAAGTTGAAATGCATGACTCCAGAGAATAAAGACTACAATGTGATATTTGACCAAATAAAAAAAAACATAAAAACGATGTGTCAAGTAAATTTTTTAAACTTACAGCGAGTGTTTTTATGCATCGGTTTAGTATCCTTCTACTTTTTCCGCCTGTGCCGCACATATCGAGCAAAAGTTCCAGTAAGCGAGAGCATCGATTTTACGTGCATATTTAAAGCGGGAGGAAAAGAACCTTTCATTCATTATTAAGGCTCAATGGCATGGAAGTCGTTGGATGTCGGTGTACGCTTACGTAAATCGGAAGAGAGTCGCGACGCGTGACGGCCACTTTGCTCGAGCATTTTTCATCGGAAAATGACTTGAAAACCCCTAAACTTCGTAAATGTCGCAACATCAATCGAGGGTTATATTTCTCTATCTCTCTTTGCTCGTCGATAAGCAATCTGTGCTTTTGGTTTTTTCTGCCTCAAACTGCCGCTTTCCTGTGAGATCCCCGACCCATCCATTATTTCTCTCTGCTTGGCTTTCATTTTATTAGGCTTCTTTTTTTGTCGAGGAAAATAGCCTGGATTGTAATCGTCGTTTTTATGAATAATACCTCATACAATAAATTTTGTAAAGTAGCAAATTTTTTTATAATGATCTGAAAACATTCATGCAGGGAGTAAAAAATAAACTTTTCGAGAAATGTACGCTGTACAGTTGGAAAAAAGGTAGAAGCACATAGCAGAGGTGGATGGAAGAAAAGAAGGAAAATTTGTCGGTCTCGAGTCGAGAGAATGTGATTTAGCACGCTTATATGTATGTGTGTGTAGGCTACTATACACGAAGCTCGAGTCGGGCAGAGTAGTTGAACTGCAGTTGCGTTGGTATATATAGGATAACGGGGGCGCGTCGTCGACTTACTCGCTGGAGAAAGAAGCAAGTTAGTTTTATTTCACAATCCATCGGCTGCTCTACTGCAGCGGCAGCAGATATATGTACAGTATCTCTCTCTCTCTCTCGCTCTTACATAGCTCGCTCGCTGTCAGTTGGCGTTTTAAAAGTTTGCGACAGCCTACAAATTGGCTCGGGCTTCTTTTTAAAAGCGCGCCAACCAAGCGCGTCCGTCGACGTCGTAGCTATACACCGAGAACTGTTATACGCTCCTTCTTCCCTTTTTTTTATTGCCCCTTCCGCTCTCGACTCTATATAGATTGACGTATTGCCGTGAAGGAGCAGCTTCGCGACGATATCGAGCTATGAATTTCCAAGTACTCGAAGGATGAGAGACGTATACACTCATATATATTATATAATACGCCGGCGCATGAATTTATGCGTATCGATGAGGCTGCACGAGCGCACGTATATATATTATCGGCGCGGGGTCATGATGCACTGCACCGCTCGACGTATCTTATATTAAACTCGATTTTGTATCAGTGTGTGAGAGAGAGAGAGAGAGCTGTACTTATATACGATGTCGCAGAGAATGAGATCGGAAGTTTGCGCCGCGAATAAACACCTTTAATGCTCGACGCGCCGTAAAGTCATCAATTTAAGTCGACGAGTTGGCTCGTGCAAGCTTCGACGGAGCCCTATAACTTTGCCAAGCTCCAGAGAAATAGAGGGCTTTAATTATTAATCGATAGCTGCGTATTAATTGTTTTCTCTCAGCGAAGCTTTAATGTATTATAGGTGGAGCGCGTGGCAGCTAAGTGAGATTTTGTGTTCCTCGAGCCGAGCGCGAGTTGCGCTGCCGAGTCGAGCGAGCTAGGCTTCGACGATTTCATGCGACCGAGATTAATTGGTCGGTATATACCAGCTGTAGCTCGAAAGCTGAATTACGAGCTCTGCACGAGTCAACTTTTGCCCACGTATATGTGCTATATTGGAATGCTTCGTCGTGAAACGTCGTGCGACACTGCACGACTTCTTTCTATTTAATTCCCCGTTTCGAATCGTGCAGTGCTTCGAAAACTTATTAGTTGCAGTCGAGCGTTTGAGCTTTCGCGGTCGAATGCGCCAAGACGAGATTAAACGTATACGAAAAAAGTACAAAGAAAAAAACCCTGATGCCAGGCAAACGAGGCCTCGACCTTTCAACATCACGAGCTTTTTCCGGGCAATTTTATCGATTTATCCTGGCTCCGTTTAGGCCTGCTGCTGCTGCAAATCGCTATGGTAAAACAAGCTCGCTCCACGTGGCTGAATCGTGCGGACGCTGTATATGATCGCGACAAAACGGGATGCGTACATGGCGGAGCCGAACGAAGCGAATGAACGAAGAGCGGAACTGAACGGACCATAAAGCTAACCCAATGCTGTATAAAATAACCTTTAGCGACTCACACAAACATCCGCACGCGTCTTCGTACGATACAATAAATACATTTGCTGCAGTTGCTGCTGCTGCTGCTGGTCGGATCGCTGAATAGCCGAGTTGCGTCTGTGGCACGAGCGACCATCCCCTCGCGAGCACATCGTGCAGGAAAGTATAACTGCAGCGAGCACACGAGCTGCCATCGGGGGGATACGATTGTATAAAGTAATTCGCGACATCGTGCACCGATCATTGTTAGCAAACTTCCCGAGGACTTATTAACAGTAATGATAAATCTCAATAATTACCATTTATCGATTGTTATTCCCGCATGATTTTGAGTAAGCTATTCTGAAAACCCCCTGAACATTTCAAATACATTTTATGAAATTCGATCATTTCAACTTTCATCGCAAAAACTGTATGAGTTGGTTAACTTAGTTAACGTAGATTTGAGGAACATATTAAATGGTGATAGGCAGCTGACTATCCGTGGCAGCGATATTCTTTTGGTTTTATAATTTAGGAATACATAATATGCTGCTGTTACAAATTTGAAAATGAGGAGGAACTTTTTTCCCGTGTACGCTTGTATATGTAGAAAAATAGACGCGCCGCAGTTGCGCATAAAACTGCCAGTAATGGTTGTCTAAAAGGTCACTGCGCTTCGACGTGTATCCTACATAGCTACATCGCACAGACGACCCACGCGTTGAATAAATGCACTCAAACTTCATAGGCGCGTGGGTAAACCGTGCACGATACATACCCTGCATAAAAAGCGCAATGAATTTCGAATTTTTATAGCCATGGCCCCTGTATGGGGCTCGTCCGCCGTATTATCTCGCATATAATACACCATAAATGTCCTGTCATCGCAGAATCGCCGAAGCTAATTGATACGATACAGCACGCGTTATCGTTCGAGACGCCGCTCGACCTGCACTAGGCTTCATGGGAATAAACTATTTCCAGCATGCTCGAGTGTATTAAAACATCGTTTAGCTCGATACTCTTGCGGCGATGATACGTAGATAATAGCTCGACGACGGGGGCTTTATAATGTTCATGAATCATTTTTTTTTCATTCACGAGCGTAGCGGAATGATCCACGGGTCCTTTTTGAATATATCATCCCACATTTAAATACATGACATTCCGCTCGGTGTTACATTATTCTAAACAAGAGGATCCGTATTATGATTTACATGCATGCAGTCGCTATGTATTAAATTTAAATTTAAAATTTTTCTAAATACGTGTAAGTCCTTTAGTTTTCTATGTGTATCGTTCGATATAATTATAGCAACCTTGATACTTTTTTGGAAATTTAATAATAATTATGTGATTTTTTAGGGTAGTTGACTTATTGCACCTGAATAATTTTTAAACCAAACCATTATGAAAAAAATAGTGAAACAATAAAAATACTATTTCTTCTGCTCGAAAAAAAAACAAATCTTTTATTAATTACAAGGACTGATTTACGTCTCTTTGAGAGATATTGTACATATTTCAAGTAGTCAAGTAGTTGACAAAACGTAGTGATCAATATAATGTTTGGTTAGCTAGAGAAAAAATGATGTAGTTTTTTGACAATTTTTTAATCAGTATTTTATTCTACGAGATCGATAAATTATTTCGATCAAGTTATTTCGCTTGTTCAGGAAAGTATAACGCGTGAATAAAAAATTGTGAATTCAGCATAAATCATAAAGATGGAACGCGCACAGTACATAAGTAAGTATACGCGATGATCGCCTCATGATTTCTCATTCATTCTAGTGAAAATTTGTACATCATAATATACATGCCATTGTGCGTTGAATATTTATCGTCGCCCAAGTAAACCGACGTTATGCGCTCGCCACGCTGATTAAAAAATATACACAGTACGATGGTGAGAGAAAAGAAGCCGCGATTTTTGTTACGCTGCTAATAAAATAATAACTGCACGCGTTAAGCCTAATGATATACGATGGGATCGTGGGCGATGATCGCGTAGTATCGGCCAGGCCGCACCGGCCCGACTTTCCATGCAGCCAACTGCGAAAAATTAAATACCTCGGATATAATAAATCCTGCTTAATACGCGCGAGTATAGATGTACGTATGCATACGGACTAAACGTGAAAAAAGCTTCCGGTCTACTTCGGTAGTTTTAATGTACGTTGCGCAAACGTGGCAAATGTAACAATCGAAATTAAAGGTCGATCGTAATTTTTTTCAATAATCGCACTGCTATGCACTAGGACTCGTTGCGAAAAGTATTAAATCCCCTCGTGCGCGTACATCATAATGCATAAGGAGCGATAATTTAGCTAGATTTCAAATCGTAAATCGCCGAGCGCAGCGCACGGCTGGAGATAGTTATAAATATGAAATAACGAGGCGCACGTCCGCAAGGAATTGTATACCTGCATGCACGAGCAAAAGTTTTCGAATCGATGATTATTTCCTTACGAAAGGAGCACGTAAGGCATACACGTGAATGCTATACGTACATCGCATACCACTGCGCACATCATTTTCAATCGCACGAGAATTATGAAATGTAGCCCACTGCGGGCCGCGTTTATAATCTCTACGTCGAGCTACATTCGAGCTGATTATATTTGCTTTCAGGGCGTGTGTGTGTGCCATTAGTCGGGTTGAAAAAAAGTAACAAAAATAATTCACGCGGAATTTCTCGAGCTTTTCTCACACTCGTATATGCGCGCGAGTGCGGGTGCGGGATGGTGTAATTAAACATCATCAGAATCAACGTTATA